ATCACATGTATTACAAATCGAAATTTTTGAGACTATTATCATATCATGTTTAACAATTGATGTCTTTCATGACATGATTTCTTTGCATTTTTGTCTTGTATGTATCATGTGATGATTGAAATATTGATTGATGCAAATTCATAATTTATGTAAAAGTCTAAATCATTGGTTCCTCTCCTTCTTTTCGGCAATGACATAGGGGGAGAAAGATTGCTAGCTCAAGGCAAATGTTGGCTAGCTTGTACTCTTCCCTTCTTTTCGACAAAAACAAAGGGGAGAAAGCTTTTGCTAGTGAGAACATGCAAAGAAAAGCAAAGTGCAATCTTGCACAAGAAGCAAGTGTTGAATTGCCACGATTGAACTTAAGAATCTTGCAATGCTTTTTTGCTTATATGTTGTGATGAAAATCTAGCTTTATATTGCAAAAACTTGCATATCTTTTAAAATAGCTAGAGCTACTTCTCCTTTTTGTTGATGACATAGGGGGAGAAGTATATTGATGACTTCATGCATTGAATTGAATATTTTATATATATTTGCATGATGGTTTAAATGTTTTTCATAACATATGATGAATGTTACTTGGATTTGGGATAATCCAAGTGTTCTATCAGTGGCATATTGATAGGGGAGTTTAGTTAAACTCCGGGGAGTTAAGGTTAACTCTGTTAGTCATCAATTAGTTGTCGTCATAAAAAAGAGTGAGATAGTTGAATCTCGGATTTTGATGATGAAACTAATTGATTGTGTTTAGATGTTTAAAAGTATTTTGAGTGATGCACTCGATCAAGATTAGACAGTTGACGCAGGAGGAATTGACATTGCGCCGGAGGAGATCACGTTAGGATATTGGACGATAGAAGGCTTCGGACGTCGGGCATCGGGCCAAGGAGAGCGGAATTACGCCAAGGATATCGGGGTTGCGGAGGTCAACCGCCGATTGGGCAACAAGCCGCAAGAAAGGACGATGCGCTAAAGAATCGGATGAAGCGCCAACCAATGACATGCCGGGCAATAGAATGTCAATTCACGTTGTAATAATTGTCTATATCGGAGTAGAGTTTTAGCTTGTGTGTGCAGGATTAACTACGATAACGACGAAGACATAAAGCAAAACAAAGTGTCGGAGTCAAGCGCGAAGGATTCGTTGCGAGTTCGAGAGTTCGACGGAAGTCCGAAGGTTCATCGGGAATGCTGCTAGAACTAGCCGAGAATGAGTAGGGAGCTTGCCGAAGGGTTTTTCAGAAGCTCGCCGGAAGGTTCGTTGGAAGTTCGCGGAGCTCGCCAAGAAAGATCGGAGCTTGCCGAAGAAGCTCATTGGAACTCGCCAAGATCAAATTGTGAAGTCTAGGAGCTTGCCGGGAGTCCGTAAAATGGTTTCCAAGAGTTTATCGGAAGTCCGTCGGAAGCTCGCCGGAAGAAGTCTTGACTTACGGACTTTGTAATAGCTTAGGAAATGTCTTTAAATTTGTAGTTAGTACGTTAATTAGGGTTAGGATTAGGTGTTAATCCTATAACCCAAGTAGGGGCCAATTGGGCCCGAGTTCGGACTGGTTTGGGCCAAGTTTGGAGCCCAACCAGTGAGCTGAAATAGTGTAGGCGGTGGCACCGCCAGATTAGGCGGTGGCACCACCCAGAACCCGAGAACTGAGTGGTGGCACCGCTGGATTGAGCAGTGGCACCGCCCAGCACCCGATAGGTCCGGCGGTGGCACCGCCAGTACACTGTCAGTGTTAGACACTAACAGGCGGTGGCACCGCCGGCCTCGGAAACCCAAGAGAATTCAAAATTTGGAGCCCAAATTTAAATCCTCTTGGGGCCTATAAATACCCCTTATTTCTCAGCAAAGAATACAACCTTTGAGAAGCATTAGATTGAGACAAAAGCCTTTGTAAATTCTTTAGCAAGTCTTGTTTTCAATTGCTTGAGTGTTCACCTCCTTCTTTCTCTTTGAAAATTTGTAAGAGAGTGAACCACTTGTAAAAGGTTGTAAGAGGGGTATTTGTCCTTCCCCTTCAAAGTGATTTGCTAGTGGAAGTTAGGAGCCTCATCGAAGAAGGCTTCGTAAGTGGATGTAGGTCGCATGACCGAACCACTATAAATCGGTTTGCACTTATCTTATTGTCATTTATATTACTGCAAACCATTTTCACTTTGATGCTCTACTTCTTTGTCTCCTTCTTATATATGCCTTCAAGTTAAAACGCAATCGAAACAGTTTCAAATGAAACGTTACTTTTTTCGTACGAAGTTTCCGTAAGTGTTTAAATCGTCGAAAGTTTATCGTACTTTACCGCTGCACTAATTCACCCCCCCCTCTTAGTGCCGCTCCGGTCCTAACACTGCTTACAGCACAAACATTGGGTGGTACCACCGCCTAGTCTAGCGGTACCATCGGTGGTACCACCGCTTAACAGTCTCTCGGAGACTATGTCTGGGTGGTACCACCGTTTGACATAGTCTCGGAGATTGTGCCACGACAGTGCCACCTATTAGGTTATTATTTGGGCCTTTCATTAGGTCCAACACAGTCCATACATGGGCCCAACTGGCCCTTAATTGGGTTGGCCCAATTCCAATCCTAATTATGTGCTAACTACGAAATCTAAGACAATTACTAAGCTAAACAAGTCTGTAAGTCTAGGTTTCTTCCAGCGAGCTTCTGGCGATCTTCCGACGAACTTTCGACGATCACTCGACAATGTTCCAGTGGACTCCCTACAAGCTCCTAGACTTCACGATGATCTTCTTAGCGAGTTTCGATGAGCTTTTTTGGCAAGCTCCTGGACTTCTCGGTTAATTCCGGCATAACTTCCGACGAACGTCCGGACTTCCAATAAACTCTTGAACTCCCAACGAAATCATGTCCTTGACTTCGAGACTTCATTTTGCTTTATGTCTTGCTATTATAGTTAATTCTGCACACATAAAACCTACTTCGATCTATACAATTAATACTAAGCTAATCAAATATTGTCTGGCACGTCATTAGTTCATTAATGCCTCATCCGATTATTCGGTGCATCATCCTCTCTTGTGGCCTATTACCCAATCGATTAGTTGACCTCCGCAGCTCTGATTTTCTTAGCGCAATATCCACTCTTCTTGGCCTAATGCCCGAACTCATGACCCGAAGCCTTCTGTCGATACGTTGACCGATCCTTTAGCTCGACGTCCAATCTTTTGACATTTTTTTTTCCGGCCCAACATGATTCTTCTTGCTTTAATTGTCTCTCCCTAATCGAAGCATCCTGCGTCACTCAAAACGCAGATTAAATCATAAATACTATCAATTAGTTTCATTATCAAAATTTAAGATTCAACAAATATCAATATCAACTCCGTGTTACCATGGAACCTAATTGCTTGACATGATAGTCAAGCTTCGTTCCCTCACCCCACTCACATGAATCCTATGTATGATAGCAAAGTTTTCTATAATCGAGTAATTGTCGATAATTCTATATAACCATCCTAGTAGATTAACTCTAAGTTTAATCATAATGGTTACTAGAGCTTCTTATAAAAAGAATTCTAAATATATTTCTAAGACTCTATTAAACAATTAGAGTACATAACATATAAATTTTAATTTAGTTCCATATTGAAAGTGGGTTAAGATTTAGATTTACTTACAAGTGTACGATGAGTATTTTACTATTAACTTAGGTTTATGTATTTTGAGCCAATAGTTCAACTTCAATGATCCTAATGGATCAAATACTTCATCAAATTAGGTTGTGACAAATTATATTAGAGCTAGCACTAGACATAGTGAGAGGCTTAGTAAGAAATGATCATGAATTGAATGAAATATATTGAGCCTTGACGAGAACATCAACTTAAGTGGGAGAACTAATTTAGTCCACATTAAAAATAGGCTAAGACTTAGGTTAACTTATAAAGGTACGATAAGTATATAATTATTAACTTAAGTATTTTGGACCAATAATATAGGTTTAGTAAGATCGAGCACCGACAAAACACATTTACTAACTTAAGTATAGACTTTTTTTTATCATACATGCCTCTCTTGGGTACTAGACTCATATTAGCTCAAAAACCCCTTGTTGAGAAATTAGAATTTGCATTGACAAAATTTTATCTTCAGATAATCATATTCTTTTATCTAGAATAAGTGTATACGAGCTAGGAAAATAAATAATTGTATAAAAAATTCTTTTGATCCCTAATAGGATCGAATTTGGTAGTCAACTTGACATGGCAAAATTAACTCGATTTGACCATTGTTTTGAGTATTGTCGCATTTGGAAGAGTAGAGTTGTTAAGTATTCAAGACTTAGATGAAAAAAGAATTTTTGTAAAGATGAAACATATCTGTATCCTATGTTCCTTGTCCTACTTCATTTTAAGAACAAAAAATAACCATGTCTTGTGTTTCGTTTTTTACAAGAGATTGCATCGAGGGTTTGTCCAGTAAAAATTTCTTTTGACAATAAAGTTAGTATATATTGGTGAGAGTTTAAAGCTCGTAAGCTTATTTTTTTTCAATTTTTCACTCTCTTTTTTATATTGTATTATTCTTGTAATAACCAATTTAATGAGAAAATATTCTCTTTAGCTACCTTACGGATCTTCGATAAATATTTCATCATTTTCGATAGGTGATGTATCATACCCAATAGATGCGGGTTAAATTCTATATAAAAAATAGTTATTTTTTAATATATTTTTATTCTTTATTTTTGTCAAAAATAACATTATTGATTGAAATAAACATCATTCAATTCCTTTTTTTCAAGATCATTCTTTCCTTATGTTGTTACTGATCTTAAATAATTGACTTGCATTACATGATTATTAAAAACTACATCAGTTGGGCCTCAAATTTTAATGTATTTTTGTCTTCATGCATCGTCTGGGGATGCCATTTGACTATGGTGGTCCATGCCACCTCAAAAGAGAGACAGCCTTGTACCATGGGTGCTCTTCACACCAGCCCACCTTGGCATGAAGGAGAAGAAAAGGACAAAGGACCTCATTGCGATTCCCTCCTCACCTCTCTTGCTTGCAGCTTCACTCCCTCCCCTTCGCCACCCACAGCCCTTCTTCCCATGCTAACCTCCCACAGTGGCCAATAAATCCTGCAAAACCCCACCACAGTCCTCCCTCCCATACCCTTCCAAGAACCAAAGAAGACCACATCAATAAAGCAGACAGAGATGGCTTCCGTCCCTGGAGCTCAATCTCTCCCCCTGCTCCTCTTCTTCCTCCTCCTGGTTGCTTCTTTCTCCCGCTTTCCATGCTCAGCTGATGTGAGTTCCTCCTTTTCCTCACAGCTGTATGATCGCGTGCATGCTTTTCTTGGTTAATTTTGTTTGTTGCGTTCCTGAGGCAGGCGGTGACCGGGCCGACGGCGTCGATAAATCCGGTGTCGGCGGTGCCGGGGCTGCGGCCGGTGCTGATCGACGAGGCCAAGCGGCGCCGACTCGGTAACTTCCAGATATGTGCCCTCTGCACCTGCTGTGGAGGCCCCAGGGGGCTCTGCCTCCCGTCTCCCTGCTGCTACACCATCAACTGCAACATCCCCAACAGGCCCTTTGGCTTCTGCTCCTTCACCCCGAGGACATGCAACTGTTTTGGGTGCCACCTCTGAGAAGAAAGACTGTTCCTTTTCTTCCCTTCTTACCTTCTTATTTGAGCTTCTGCTTTTACTGGTATTGTTTCTCAAATGTCAAATGTGTTGCATTTGCACAGAAGATTGCTAAACTGTTCATACTGAGTGAGTGCTTCCATCACTGGCTTGCTAAATTGTCTTAGATTAGTCAGTCCTAAGGAATGTTGCTAGAATTGAGTGGAGTTTCCCTTGTGAATGGGTTGTTTGAAGATGAGGTATGAGTTGAGACTGCTGGTTTTCACTACTTCCAGTGAGCTGGCCATCCAAAAATATTTATTAGGAGTTGGCTAATAATCAAGCAGTAGTGCTTCCATCCCTTGTGAATGGTTTTCACTACTTCCAGGTAGGTGGGAGTTGGCTAGAGGCATTCAAGCCTATAATTAAGCAGTAGGGTTGGCAATGTGGTTCTTGTGAGGGTCAGTAACATTTATTTATTAGGAGAGCAAGATGGGGGATCATTCACTTACCATTCACCATATTATGAACTACTGTAATAATCATAGTGCATACAGTATGGTGAAGTTGAACAGAATGAATTGTGTGTCTTGTGCTCAAGTTACTTTGTCTCCTTGCAGAAAAAAATTTCTTTGTGCTTTCTGAAATATATGTTATATGACCATGGTTTGGAACAGAACAGACACCTCATGCTTATGCTGTGCTGAGATCATTCAAATCAACAAGAGCTGCTTTTTGACTTTTCTGAAAGATAGTTTTTTGATGCTGTGCTGGGATTATTGAATATTGTCTCTGTTTTCAATTACTTCATGTTTATGATGTAGGTAGTCCTACATCTAACCTTCATTAAAAGAAACAAAACAAAACAAAAGATGTGCTTATCATTTTCTTTTGTAAGATAACTGTGAAACAGTACGAAGAAGTCCTATTTTCTAATGATAGAAAATATTTTGACAGTGAATCTTAGGTTGATCAAGTATAAAAATTAATCATTCTCACTCTTTGACATGACATGAAGGGTGATAATAGTGTGTCGATCTTTATGGACAAGAGCCCACCTGAGGTCATTCAGGCTTATCTTTTCTTTGTTGCTCTCATGAATAAAGCTGTTACATAAGGCCCCCTCAATTGATCAAGTATAAAAATTAATTTTCGGTGATATCGGTGGAGGGGGGTAATAAAACAAAATATTTTTTTATAAAAAATTGATAATAAAATTATATTTTCTGGAATGAGTATTTCGGATAGAAAAGCCATAGCAGACAAGGAGTGAACTCTCGAAGAAAAGTCGCAGTACAGTTGTATTTGCTGGAACGAGTGTTTTGAATAGAAAAGGCACGAACTCACGATAAAACTTCAATAAGATCAAAAAATAGCTCACCATCAAATCACACAGGAATACAGAAAGTTCACTACCCCAAGGAAATTAAACAAGGATACAGAACTGAAAATAAAAGACTCACCACTCAAGGAAGCATCCAAGAGATACAGAGTTTAAGGGAGAACTCCAAGAGAGCTTCTGCCAAAATATCATCAGTTTCTAAAGTCCTCTCTAAGCCCTAAACATCCAAATAAGTACTAGTGCATGAAACAACCTTCATGCATAGGAAATTTCGAAATTAAGTATTTTACAACT